GACATCGACTTACTAATCGATGAAGTAGAAAAAAGGTCAGCAAGTTGAATATAGCAAATTTGTATAAAAAATATAAATATAAATTGTATTTTTTTCAAAATTGGATAAACCCAATGTGTACGTTTTCTTTTTCTATATTTTTCTTTATAATATAACCACAAAATAATAGCCTCTTCCACGTCCATTTTCTACGTTCTACCGAACTAGACGACGAGTACTCTCGCAACGCGCGTTAGCGCTCATCATCTGAACGCTCTTCAAATTTGATCGCGCGTTGACCGCGTAACGCCGTTACATGTGAACATAGCCTTAATCTTGCTCATAGAAGGAACAGTTCGAGGCTAAGTATGATATTTAGACACAATTCTTAGCGCGAACTATTACTCTCGTGTGTCAAAAATCTAATACGTATTTGACTACCAGACACACACTTGAAGTCCCATTTTTGAATCTCACACTAAAACTCGTTTAAATTATGGGAGAAAAAAAAGATACATGCATAATGAAGAGGTTTTGTAAATCAAAATAAACATTAATTATCGAGGAAATGTCTTCTTGCATTTATTCATATTGTACAATTCTTATAATATGATCCATTCTGCAAAATTTTACAGGCGAGCAAATTCATATATAAAACATTAGCTCCTTTGTATTGTACATAACCATTTTTACCAGTATAGTGAAAACATGCGTATAGTTTTTTTAGTTTAGGATAATAAATTACTTAAATACTAATTTAAATTTGGTTCTTTATTAATACAATAATTAGGATGCACTATCCTGCAAAGTTATCGAAACATACCAAAACATACTATGGTGCTCTCTCGTCGCCGATGAACTTTCTATGCTAAATTTAATAATCATTATACTTCGGTCAACCATTTATATTACTTTTGACGGAGTGATTTGTCGAGATAATTTTGTACACGAAATCGGAAAAACTTGACGCTGTTTCCGTTTAAATAATGTCGCGTTGTACTTCCAATTATCACAAACCAATGTGTATACTTCCTAAGTTTACATAAACTAAGAATAGAAAAACGTGTTTGTATGTTTTTAATATTAATACAACATTAAAAAGTTGATTGGAATTGAATTAGTTTTTTAAATTAACTAGATAAGTCAAGAGTAAAATAATTGATTTATCGAAGTATGATGAATATAATTGAAACGACGCAATTATAGAAATATAAGGCAGGCGATATGGCCCGAAGCTCCATTTCGCTTGAATCAAATATTGCGATTTACCTAAGCGCACTCGATACAACAAAATACAAGATACTATAACCATTCGTATCAGTAAAAACATTAGGTAGCTTTAAGATACGCGTAGCATAGCTTGAACACGATTATTTATTTGCCATAATAATATACATATCTTACATTTTTTATTATCTAGCTCAACTAGCGTTATCGTTAAAATTAACCAAACGTTACATTGTGATGTTAAGATAACTTAAAATGACATCGAGTAAAACCTATATTGGCTAAGTAGACGAAAACAAATTCGCTCTCAGCGCGCATACATTAAATTTTTTAAATATATTGAATGTCTTATCTGTAGTAGTTAAGGTAACTAATACGTTCATTATTTTAAGGCAGTGAAACACCCAACTTAAACTCAAGGACAGTCGGGGACGAGTTTACCTAGCTAACATTAATTATCTAGTACATATCACTAGACATTTTCACATGCGACTCTCTACATCGGCCGCGTTATATATTACAATATTTACATGTCTTAAACACATAGGTCTGCGACGTAGAAACAAGGGTACCACGAACACAAGCGGGACGCACACGCGAGTAACATTACTCTAACCTCTCAGTCATTGAAAGTCCATCGGCTGTATCCTAACGCCCCAACGTAAAACGTAACGAAAACCGATAATTCATATTGAGTCGATAACAAAGTAAAGCTACAAATGAGATCTTTTATAGGTGACTTTAATTGGAACAATGTTTACTGGAATACATGTAGCATTAAAGGGTCCTACAAATCTGGTAATATTATTAACAACGATATATGAAAACAATAATTGCGTTTTAATTTTAAAGCAATTGGTTTGTATCGCTAAAATGTTATAAAATTGTCTATAAACTATAATTAAAAACATAACATACATGTCAGAATGCACAAAGGCGCAATCAAAAACTGCTATCTACTTGAAGACTGGTGTCTCGTTATTTTTGCTATTGAAATATTGAGCTCTTTTGATTGAGCTTTGTGTATTGGGACAATAACGATCTTATTCATAAATGTATTATAAGTGTACTTTGTATAATGTTTTATTTATCACGTATTTAATATATCTGTTGTTTCGTAACTGTCACTCGGATAAGAACAATGAATGTTTAGGGCTTGTAATACATTTATGATTAGGTCGTAAAATTCTAAAGCATTAATAAAAATCTTTGAATGAAACCTACAACCGTTTTAATGTGGTAAGTCACAAGACATGCCTGACTTATACATTCGATATTTAAAAATACAATTTGAAAATGATGAAATAAGCAGTAACCATTTGAACGACAGTAGTTTCATCCACAACACAGCGCCTCGGCAAAATAAATAACTTTTCTATGCAATCACACTGTCTAATAATAAATTTCATATCATGTTATCACAGAAAAATATTTATTTACAATTTTGTAATATACCTACAGCATGCCTCGCAACATTTTCCGTGATCGATTCTTTCCATTTTCTTTTGTATACCTTTTTCAAGAAAATCTACTGTGAAAAATTGTAAATTAGATTAGCAACGTCTAAGGGAGATTCTAGTGTATTAAACGTGTTCAAAACATTAAAAGAACAATGAGTATCAAGTTAAGAGCCTTTGGTAATATGAATTATGGACATAACATTGCTTAGTTTTTCCTATACCTATGTTAAATATGAGCTTTGAGGGTGAAACAGTTATCAAACGAATTAAAACTAATATTTCTAATATATTTCGTTTCGAGTTCTCGAATAATAGTTTGAAGGATTTACGGGAATTATTAACGTCTAAAGGCTGTGCACATGTCGCAGAAATAATATGAACAAGGTTTGAAATAATATTATCTGAAAAATTGTAGACGATAGCACAAGATTTATCTAGTTGGCCTTTGAAAATTTAAAATTTAGTTTATTGGTTTTAGGTTTTAAATGACGTCCATTACGTATAACGTACCGCGTAAGATTCATGCGTAAATCTCAAACAGGACAAGACTTACAATTATTAAAATGCTTCAAGTGTTTTAAAATCCATGGACTATCCTCACAGATGCCGTATCTGTTTTACATTATGACCGAGAAAAAAACGGAATATTATCATTGTGCCATATTAGAAACATGAGACGCCGGCAGTTTGAACCTATGCGACGCAAGATGATTCTTTATACCAAGATGACGTTACTTTATTTATCATGAAGCTAGAACATCCTCAATATAAAATGTGGACTACACGTAACTATGGTAACAAAACATGTGAAGTCCACGTTTTGCTCTATTTCGGACACTTGATTGTTTTTGCGACATGTGATAGCGTTCTGGTCTATAACTCTCCAAATATATATAATACAATATACAATTTAAATATATTGCATTGCCGTAATAAATTGGAATACAGAGACCTCCAGTGAAACGAACGTTATGTCACATTTGGCTTTGACAACACTATAAAATCTACAACATCCCTAATTTTCATTTCAAATACAAAATACAGCTTTGTAAATAAAGCCACTTTACAGTTGAGCTGCCCTTGAATTTGAATTTTGAATACATGCCAACCTAAGGTAAGAAGTTTATGATTTTAACTTGATATTTGGTTATTAATCACAATAAAAATTGTGGTAAATGAATTATTATTAATTCAATACAAACAGTACTGTTAAGATAAAAAAAACTTAACGCTATAGATTTTTTTACAATCTGGGAAAGTAGGGATTTTTTCATGAATGAAATAAGTTGCTATATTGTTAAGTTTCTTAATTGTTCTATTTTGTTAGAAGCTCGACGTTGTTTATCGTTGAATGTTGGTTTAGGCTATGCTTTGGCTATGTTTATAATGCAAACAGGACTTAATATAAGTATAAACGTAGACTAAATAAAATATTAATAGAATTTGAACAATGTTTATCTTATATTAAAACGTGTGGACGACATCTAAAAAGATAGATTACCGGGCGATATTAAAAGTCTGCTTAAAGTTTCTTTCGCTAAATAACAACCATCATCACCAAATGTAACAAAACACTAGGTACCTATCGACTGGCCTACACACGATTTAACAATTTTAGTTAATTTTATGCAGAATATCAAAGTTTACATACAATCCATGCTATTATTTAATTGTATTTATAAGTAACGTAGATATAAAGCACTTGGGGGAAGGACAGCAAATTCAATAAAAATGTTAATTATGTATTAAGTATATTAACTAAGTAAAAATTATTTTGCTATGTAAATATATCATACAATACTCTAGTATTAATTTGTCTGACGATGAAAGGCTAGATTGTTCCAACGTCTAACTGGAATACGAAAAGAGTTGAGCGAGGGTCCCGTCGTTTAGAGCTGTACGGCGACGAGCCGCGTGCCGGACTGATGAACAATGCGAAGACCTCGGTCCCCTCCTTTCAGCAGGCGGTATTATGATGTAAATTTTTCGTAGTGCAAATTTAATATAGAAAGTTACTTTTACAATACAGACTAATAACTTTATGTAAAAATCCTAGCACAAACGAGTCGCCTGGCACTGTTTTATACTTCGATTACCTTAACCATAATATAAATCAAAGAGTAAAATTTTAGCGAATTAAAAATTAAATTTTCCAAAACTTTGTAAATACTAGAATTTGGATAGTCGCCCGCGGAAGCGCTCCGGCGGGGCGAGCTAGTCTATCTACACATATACACACGTGGAGTCCCCAACGCGTCAGTATGTATGCGCGTGGGTTGCGGGCGAAGCGGGCGGCGCGCGCACGTCCCGCTGGGAGCGCGCGCGGCGGCGCCGCTAGCACCAGTCGTCCTCGTCAGAGTCCGAGTGGCGCGTGCGCGGCTTGAACCCATTGGGCAGTCGCGTGCCGCTAGGCGAAGGCAGGGCCCGTGCGCCGCCGCCGCGCCCCATTGCCAGCGCTGCCTCGTAACTTAGCGGCGCCGGCGCGTCGTACGTGCGTACGCCGCGTTCGCTCTCGTAGCCCCAACCGCGCCTGTGTGGTATGACATAAGTTTACATTTTTCTATCTGTGTAATACAGTTTAACGGCAAGCAAAGTACCCATTTTTTCTATTTATTATTTTGTTATTCGCTTATTCTTTCCAGAAATTTTGTTAACTTTCACTACTTGTTTTTGCCTTTCTTACCTTTCCCTAGATCTATAGTCTCGGTGTATCAGTCTTTCAACTTCCCGCCCATATTCATACTCATCGTGTAGAGGCTCTAAAGGTTCTCGTGCTGTATGCCTTAACGATAACTGGAAAAAATTTAATCATGAATTCATCATCAAATAAGGCAGAGGAAGGTGGAACACCAGCAATTAGTACTTACGTGTGAGGGGCTGTGGCTTATTCTGGCGAGGGGCGGCTGCTTGACCTGCAGCGTGGACGGTTTGGTGGGCGTGGGCGGTAGCTGGCGTCCGCGGCCTCTTCGCCCGCCTTCGCGCTCCCACGACCGGTCGCGCCACTCTCGCCACTCGCGGTCTTTATCGCGATCTCGGTCGCCACCTATGGGTGCCCAGACTGTCCTTTGAATAATCGAGTAGTTCCGTACCCGGCTTAACTAATTTGAAACGAGCGACTACATAATATATTGATGCTGAAATTGAAGATGATGATCGAAAAGCGAGGAAAATAAAGATCATAATGATGAATCGATTATATAGCGAGGTTAACAATAAACAGATGTGCAAACAATTTTCTTATGAATAAAACACATTATTTGCATTTGCACGCGTTTCACAAATTATACAAAATACGAAGCTAAGATTCCATTGACAAGTAATCGTGCAAATAGGCATCGAATTTGAACGCAGCAAAAGGTCTTCTATTAAAATATTCAATATTGCCAATTCCGATAAGAAATTAGACCTTTTGCTTTACAAAATGTAACATTTGATATTGGGACTTATAAGGTAGGGAATATCAACCATGGTGAAAAGTGCCAACTTTTTATCTGGTTTGATGAGTATCCTACGTTATGAATATTTGGCGCGTGTTTCGTTGCAAAGTTGAATGACTCTGAGTGTGAAATGCAATGGAAGTATATTTGAAGAGCTGGAGTTGAATGTATCTGTATGGCATTAAGTGCCCGCTCTGGTGGGAGCAGCGGGCACTGCGCGTGTGTGGCGAGGACGCTCACCGTAGGTGTGGTGGGGCGGGCTGGGCGACCGCGAGGGCAGGCTCAGGCTGGTCGTGGGATAGGGCGCCCTCCACTCCTTCCCTGCTGTCAGGAATACCTTCATGTACCTTTCACCACGCTTTAGCCTAGTCCGTTGGTTTACCGACCCATACACATTTTATTTTTGCTCATGAAAGTGACGCTAAAAGTTTTGGATTGTAAGGAAGGGAGTCTTTCTACGTTAATATTTCATTTTAAAATGTGTAAAAAAATGTAAAGAAGCATCTAAAGTTCTTATATCATACGCAGTTACAATGTAAATATCTACACTTACGTATTAGCTATTGACATGTTTTCGTTTAAGCTAAAAGTTAACTAAGCATTTGCATGCTGCATGATACGGTTATCGTTGTGCATGCTATTATTATTTCTGAGTTCAAAAGTTAAAGCATTATTGTGCAGCCAGAAAAGGCTCCAATATTATGTGGACATGCAGCAGGCAAATCAATTAATTTTCACAAAATATATAATTACAAAATTACCACACCAACCAAATAGTTATTGTTTCTAAAACTCGAAAAGTATAGCCCGTTACATATTACTTATTCTAGTCTATTAAACAAAATATAGCCGATGGACTCAGATATGGTTTCTCTAATTAATGGGTTTTCTGAAAAAATTGTGACAAATTCCATTAGAATAATAAATAGCTACGAAATAGTTTTGTACAAAACTAGATTATGAGTCTTCAATATAGCTAATGTACAAATATCGCTAAAGGTACTAACTTAATATTAAATAGCTTTGTCTCAAATATAATATACCTTACAATTAACTACTTCTACAGATTGTAAAACTCTACAACTACTTGTAAGCTAAAATTCCAATCTTCTCACAAAACTTTCAGAGTAACTTCATGAGAAGAAAAATGTTTGCAAAACTGTCGGGTCATAAAACTGAATCTAAATGAAATATAAGAGTAGATATGATTATGATAAAATATTTTATGTGTGAATACTAATATGAAATTATAATATATAATAATGTTTCACGAAAGTACAGAAGTAGAATATAGTATACTCAGATACATATCTTACGAATTTGTAGTGGTTTCAACAAAGAACTGGATAAGTTGATCTAGCTAGTACAGTAAATTTGTCGGTACTAAGCCATGATGGCAGGGACATTACGGAGGAGCTAGTACAAGATTTAATTTTGTATCGCGGTTTTAGTGGGTAAAGCTTGCGAACATTTAAAAAAGATAAAATGATATGGATAATTGCACCCTACAATTATTTAAAAAAAATTATGGCTTTTGGTTTACTCGACAGTAATTTATTTGACTGAACTTGTTTTAGCCCCTCATTAATTAAATATATTGAGAATGTACCGTCAAGTTTACGTGCTAAGATATATTTCAATATCTTACAAATATTTAGTTAGCAGTTAGCCCGAATTACATATAGAACCACCTACCATGGTAATGATGAGGCGCCCTGTGTGTCCGTCCGTGTCTTTGATGTTCGTGTTTTACTATCTCGACGACATTATTGACGGTGTCAGAGAAACCGATTTCATGATGATAACCTCCGTAATGTCGTCTTCTGGGACTTGGTGTGCGTCTATAAGCAATAAAATTATTATGATTATGAAACACGTTGATGCTTAGATATTGTATACCCAAGAATTTTTGTCATGATATTGAGGTATTTGGTTAATTTTATATAGTATTTTATAGGCCATACATGCATCTCAAGTGGAAAATTATCATGCAAAGTTTCGTTAGTTTTGAAAATATTTTTTAGGTTAGTTGATACATTATTTCTGCTTAATAACATACCCCCTGACACTAATAAGCGTAGAGCAATAGAATCATCGATGGCACTAAAAACAAAACAAAAATATAAAAAAAACAATAGTTTCTAAGCTAGATAAAAAATAAACCTATCATTTGAATGTATATCAAATTTCGTAGTTCAATTTACAGTCGACCAGCTCACCTTAAACTAGATGATCTTCCGTGGTGTCCATTTTGATAGACATGACTTGCTTGTAGTCTTCCTTCGTCTAAAGACTCCAAGGAAGCATGGTGGGATCCAACATCTTGTAATTCTAACACCTAGAGAGTAAAGGAAACTCATTAATACTCAGAACTTAAAATTAATAGAAATTAAGAATGTTCGCGTATTTTATTCGTTCAAATGAAAATTACTGTCCCATATTTACAAAATGTTGTTAAAACAACACTTATGCAATATAGAAATTCAAAGGTGCATCATGCAACCGTGCTTGTGCGGTAGAATAAACACGTACTTACGTATCTCTGAAACTTATAAACTAAGAAAAAATGCAATACTGTTTAGATAACAACACATGCAAGCTACCTAGTACATGCAAAATATGAATGTTTAGATATTGTGTTTTTCATTGTTTTGCGTTTGTTAATAGATGTCAGAATGTTACGATGTCAGTAGGTTTGTTAGTGTGGTGTCTAACGAATAAATCATTAGAGCAACAATGTTACATTAATTATACCATTCACTAGTAAACAAAATAAATTATATTGTAGACATTCGTCTTCTACGTCAAAATGTCCTATCATACTGAAAATATTACCTAAACATCAATAACCATCTGTAAAAATTCAAATCAAAATTAATATCAGAACAGCACAAATCTCTAACAACGATAACTGATTACATTTAAGAGCCTAAGGCTTTATACACGAACCACCTAAATAAAAAACAAACTCGTTTTAATTCTCACAAACAATAAATAAACATTTATTTATAAAACATTATTAATTATTCTCGCAACAGCGACTAACAAAGTTACAACATCAACTATCTATGTCAAAGTGCATCAATAAATCTGTAGTCTATAGCACACCAAACTAAACCAACGCCCACGTTTATTATGTTAACAAATTGTAACACCCACTTCCTATACACGTATACAATATAGCAATTTTAATACTGTATCCTCCCATTACGAAGGTATTCACCTTTTTGTTGTTGTTTCTGGAACAAGAGAGAAATAAGTTAGTATTTTCATTACTTTTACTACTAAATTTGGAATAGTAGATCGAGTAAATATTTAATATAGCTCATTTTATTAGAACAAGAACTTATTGAATCGGTTAGCAGGCAATGAGAATCATATAAGGATTAATTTTCTTATAAAGTGATTTAGTGTATTCGGCTTACCTTATCGCAAACCGCTGATTTTGCTACATTTTTATATTAATGAGTTATATATAAGTATGTTATGTTTATTTAAATCAACTTACTTGTGGGGTTTCCTTGTACTTCTTCTTGCAAGGTCCATTATAGTATGCGTGTCATCACCTTCCGTTGTAGGAACAGTAATTGGTTGTCCTTCTTGACTTAAGGAGCCTGTTCGAGATCCGTGGCCCAGACCCGTTGCCGCCACGTCGAGCAAGCAGTTAAAGAAGGACGCCTTCTGTACCAGCCATTTGACTTCATCCTCCCTTCTTCGTATTCACTTGCGCATTCTCATGGCCGATTTAATTCGGTATTTATCCTATAGCTCGTCTAAACGAGCTTCAAGACTTAATTTTTTTGTTTTTATTTACGAAAAACAAAAAAATCATTGAATCTTATAGTACTAATCTACATGAGTTTGCGCAAATGGTTCACACACGATATAAGCGCCGTCACAAATCAAACCAACAAAAACTCGATCATTATTCTAAGTTATATCTGCGCTCTAAGAGATGCTCGTCAGTCGACAGTATTATGTTATATGGCATTATGGAGGTGTATACTGCTAGTATCTGAGGAAATACTAAATATTATGTTAGATATTGGCTTGTCACTCATGTTGTTGCTACTTGTTGAGTGTCCGGTATAAGAACCTGTATGCTGAAAGTAAATGTTGCGTTTTTGTGGAAATTGTATATCAAAAGCAAATTGTAGATCTTATGCTGAATATTGTGCGATTAAATTGAAGCCAGAGGCAGTTTTGAGGACAGGTTTATTTTATAAACATGTTTTATATACATACATAGATAATATTTATATTAGGAATTACGTATGATTTTATTTGTTTTTATTGTGCATGCCCAATATTTAATTGTTACCAAAATGCATTACAAATTAATTTAGAAAAAATGCAGCGGAACAAAAAAGCATCGTATCAGATTCCATATCATATATCAGGCTTCTAGACTGGAATGACATACAATTGAGCCGAAATGTAATAAAACTATAAATTAATTATATGTAAAAGTGTAAAGAGAGTGTAAGAATTTGCAAGATAAGTCTGAAATTAAACGTCATGCAAGTTCTGTGATAGTTGAGAGTGTGGGTTCTATGGTTCATTCCAAAAAAATTAACGTATTAGCAAACTTCACAAAATTGAAAACAAAATCTACAAGACACAGTGCTAACTCTACGTAAAATTTCAAACACTGCTTAACACGGATTCAAACCTCTAGACTAGGCTATGTATTTTGCAACTATAGGACAGGTAGGTACTAGGTACGCTTTCGAGAGTTAACCTGGAAATGCTATCGTTATTATCTGGACAAATTTGTGCACACTAGCACATGTTTGTCCAAGCTACCAAGTGAAGTGCAGTATTATGTTAGAAACTGAGGAATCGTACAGCTAATGAAAAATTACTGGTTGTGAAACTAATATTATTCATCATCGTGTCCTGAGATTCTTTGAATACTTATGATAAATTATTTAAACACGATGCGAAAGAAATTTATGAAAAAACAAAAAATCTAAAATAGTGCAAGAAAAGGTAGTTAAAGTTCGTTCCGTAAAATATTTAATACTACCGGCTGATTGGCCGTAGGGCTATTCTCGCTGAATGCCTGAAAAGTAAACCACCATTGTAGTCGACTCTGAGGAGTCGATTTTAACTAAAGTGACTCTGTATTGTTGTACTCGATCCGTTAACAAAAAATAGCTAACACAAAGCCAATCAGTGCGCAAATTACACTTCAAGAATATACACAAATGGTTGGTTCGATGGAACACCGATAATAACAACAATACATCCACAAGGACAACACAACGCTAGTCTGCTAACTATAACGTGTCAGTCATCATCTAATGTAAGGAAATCGGGGACATTAACAATCACTACTTCTTCAACAGTGAAATTAACCTATTCATCAATCTTTACATTTGGCTCAAAGTAAAAATAATTGCTAAAGATTTTATTTATTTTATATTGTTAACTCTGGCTTCATTGGGACCGACATACCTTAAGATATCTTTGCAATAAGTTTCTTATCTCGTGGTTAAAATGAAACAAATCTTACCGGCAGACCAGAGGGTTCATTCTGGCCAAACCTAGTGGACTTCCAACTCTCGAGTATGAGGAGACCTCCATAGATTTTTCCAACGGTAAGGTTTCTGCCATTTAAGACATCGCTACGAGGAACTAACAGGTCCAACATTTTCCTCGCTTGCAGCGGCCAAATCCGGGTTATTGTTTCCCTAAGTTCTTCATCGGCTTGGTCCATTTCTTCAGCTAAGTCATTACATCAAAAATATTATAATTGTCCAAAATATCTAAATATTTTTAAATCTAGCAACTTACCTGTTCTCATTTTTATACTAAGATTCTCTCGAATTAATGCAAACAGCGTTGTCGTAAAATTTACTTTGCCTTCTTCATCTAATGGCATATTCATCCTAATTAATTTTTTATATGCTAATCTATTGGGACATTTGTTTCCAAACCCCAGCGGCGGATCCATATTTTTTAACATATCATACATTTCTGTATAGTGGATCTTCCCCCTGAAAATAAATAAATATTAATAACTTCATTCGTGTAACGCACAAGAATATAATAGACATAAAAGGATGATTAAACTGAGAATTGCTGCCATTTATCGAATGTCTTTTAATATTATATTTCTTAAATTTTAGAGTCATCACAAGAGCGACGCTTTCGCAAAGGTATGGTTTGGAGATCAAGACAAAAAACCATTGTGAAATATGACATAAAATAAAAATTATATCAGAAACTTGCAAAACTTACGTGGCATTTGGGTCATATTCAGCCCATATCCTAACAAATTCGTCTAGATGATGCGCTCCGAGAATTGATGAATCCCTTGTTAAGTAATCGAAATTATCCATAATGACGGCAACGAAAAGATTCAACATCTGAAAATTTTAAAATTAACTATTAAAATACGCAATGAATGATGATTTAGCAATCAATATATACATATATTAATTGAAAGTTTAAAACAACTATATAACAGTCATGAGTCAATATACAAAAATTATCGCAAGACTATAAATTATCGCTTATTAAAATCTATTTGAAGATTTTTTTTTAATTGGACAATTCACACCAATTGACCTAGTCCTATGCTAAGCTGGTGAAGCTTGTGTTATGAGTACTAGGCAACAGATATACATACATATTATAGATAGATATACATACATACATATTTAAACACCCAAGACCTAAGCACAACACCAAATGCTCATCACATCGATGTTTGTCTCAGCCGGGGATGGAACCCGGGACCCATGGATTCGCAGTCAGGGGTAAATTTATTTTACAATGAACTCACCAGAAAGGAACAGAAAAATATAAAGGACACGAAGTAGGCATATGCAAGTGTACTGCCACACATCTCGGACGGTGACTTCCCGGCTTCTTTATCACATTTGGCAGGCTTTAAACATGCCAACATTATATTTGGCCAGGATTCACCCGTAGCACACCTGTTCAATTGAGTTACACATGTTACCCACATACTTGTAACGAGAATATTTGTAAAAAGATTATAAAATTCCGTAAAGTGGAACATATTTCTGCGTCTCTTTAACTTGATTTTTATGCCCAAAACGCGTCGGACAACAGCTAAAGTTCGTAATGATTTTCCGTAACCGTATAAGTACAGTATACGGTACGGTAGTATATGTTAATGGCATACTTATAAACAAAAAAATAAATTTTTATAAAGAATATAATTTAAGACTGGTTGTCAAAGTTAGTGAAGAAGACCTATGATTAAATAATTACCTAAATAGTAACATGAGAGCTTGAATAAAGCTCCGAAAATTGTTGTGTCTGTTCATATCAGACTCTGCCGCTAAATCTATATTTCCGAACACCTGGAAATAAAAAAAAATCAATTAGTTTGAACGTGACATAAGTTTTGATCAATACATCATATCATACATGAATTATTATTTCATGAGCAATATTCAAATAGTTTGTTTATTTCTGTAATAATATACAAAAGTTTAATAAACGAATACTATGCTAAAAATATCTATATATCTATTGTCGTATATTGCTTTCAATGATAGTAATGCACCTGCATTCCGATGATTGCGTAGATGAAAAATAACATCGCGATGAGAAGGCACACGTAGGGTAAGGCTTTGAAACTCTGCACGAAAGTCCACAACAGTATTCGAATGGTGTAACCCTGTCGGAGCAGCTTGATCAGTCGCGCGGCTCGGAACAGGCGGAGGAAACCAACGTTGAATGTGTTTTCCTGGAAATTATTTATAATCATATGTAAAACATAATTTTTAATAAATAATTTACACGCGTGTAATCACTATTCAATTTATAAGTGTTTGTTGATCTGTGCAACAGGTCCCAAATAATGTTTTGAAATTGAATTGTATTTTTAATTAAATTTTCTAGATGTTATAATTAATTTATTTAGAATCACTAAATTTGTAATTAGCACTTAACGATTTTTAAATAAAACTGTTTTAATTGTCGTAAACTCTAATTTATTACATTATTAACATGGACGTATGGAACGTATTTGGAAACATCGAGTTATGTAAATACTATAAAAATCTCATTTATATCCCTTAAAGTAGTTTTATTTAAATGAGTAATACTCGCGTAAACCAAAGATAATATAACTTTAAAATGTGCTCTAGTAATTACACGCATTTTAAATTAAACGTTATTGAAACAATTCTGTAGTAACGCTACGCAGAACAATGGTTATTAATTTCCACCTAATGTTTCTTAAACGTTGAAAGGCTACTTCTAAATCTAATGAAATATTTGAATTCTAATCTGAATGTCTATAAAATAACTACTATTATTTTAGTACTTTAACGTCATAACATCTGTTATTAAACTTTGCTTATGATCTAGGTGCCTACGAATTAAAATGACTTTTACTCAAACAACGAAAAATTATAGAAAGCGAGAAATCTTCTTAATATTCTAATACTACAAAATATATAAATACCTACATTAAACGGATTTAATTTTTTTTTGTCTACCTTTAGTACTTAAAAATTTAATAACGACAAAAAAAGTTCCAAAAATTTTACGGTCAGTTTTAACAAAATTTGCAACATTTCAACGGGATAAAGGGTAAATACAATTTCGGACGTGAATCCACGTACCCTAACTACATTTATCTATCCTAGCATTAACCTTTAACTAATGACTATCGATTAATGATACCTAATGAACTATGACAGTTCTTTAACCTGGACAACACACCAATTCTACTGATAACTAGCTCTACAACACCGTCTCAACGAACTAGAAACTCCTAGAAAACCAAAACTCTTTTACCTGCTGACAGGAAATGTCAGCACAGTTTTCGCCCAGTTCGCTCTGTAATCAGGATATCATTCTTAAAATTTAATATAATAAATACATTCCCACTGTATGGTCATTGTCTTTGTAGTGTAATTAATTCTAGGTCAAACTAAAAATTTTGAAGTAGAACCTAATAAATAACTTTAGTGAGCCTTTTTTGCTTCATGAAAGTTTATTAATATTATACTGTTACTTCTGATAAAAAATTACTTACTCCAAATTCCATGATTAGGGCGTCAATAATACTTCCAATGACCGTTATGAAATCAAAAGTATTCCACGGATCTTTGAAAAAATTCTGTAAATATAAAACCAGTATGAGTTTGAAGATTGATTATATTATATATTATTGAATCAATTAAACAAGCATTTTACAAATGTACGCTTTCTGGAAAAAAAATATATACATTATGTGCACACTTTGTATAATTTACACATTATATAAAAGGATAGGAACAGGTTAGTACTATTATTAAAGCAATAGTAAAATTTGCTTATCACAAATAAAAATATCGTCAAATTTCCATACAAAATCATAACTCTATAATAATAAAGCAGCATTTCAAATCCGATAAAAGTCTATAAAAAATTACATATTCAAGTCAATGTTGAATATTAATTCTACTATATTTGAAAAGTCTTTAAAATGTTGAAAAGGGCGATTTTGATGTTAACTTATTGTATGAAAAATAACAACTATAAACGTACGCAAACGCAGCATTTAATGTCATTAAATATATTAATTAAACAATTTGATGCTATTTATACGTTGTTGTGTGTAATGCGAAAGCCTCCAGAAATATGTCTTAAATTTTTTCAAAGGAGTTTGAATGCATGGGGCATTACATCCATGGAAAATATTACTTAAACTCACATCTTTGTTATATAGAAAAAAAGTTTGTATAATCTAACAATCCGAATCGATTTTCTTGTCTGAAATATTATTTTCATCATTGAAACATTAGCAACAAAACTTATTGCAAATTTAGTTATAATCGAGATCTTACTAGGATCATGTATTACAATCTTCAAATAGGAAAAAGTATAGCATTATCAGCGGTCATTCTCTTTAACACAGAAAAAAACGTATTTTTAAATATTACAAGCGCAATGGTAACTGATATTAACCGATTATTTAGTTTAATAAGATTTACTGCCACTAATAATTTATCTTTCAAGTTTTTAGTTGAGTAGTTAAGGAATCTTGAGAACAATCACATGCGACACGTATTTGCCATTTTTTCTAATGACGGAGTTTCACGGAAAGAAATAGGTCTAATAGTTAAACAAATTTCATTAAATAACATCAAAATAACCCGCTACTATTAAAAACATGACATATTGTATTATTTATAATGAATTATGGGTATGTGCTTAATTATTAAGTGATTCTTACCGTACATCCGAACGCAATTAACTTCAGAACGGTCTCGAGTAGGAAGAAGAACGTAAATACTATGTTCATGACTGTTAACACGTCCATGAGGATCGGTGGAGCCTCGTGAAACTAACATAAAAACCAATACCAATAAGATTTACATCGAAAACTTAGTAACACTAATCTATAATTAGATATATGAATATTTCTCGATCCTAAATATTAGCAGAAATTGTCTAAAATGTTACTTGTTATATAGACTACACTAAGACGCAAACGTTCCGATTCGTATCAGTGTATGTGTGTGTGTTTGTCATCTGATGGCTTTGTTGAGTTTGTCGTGGATAGTGCACATGCAACATGCGAAGGCACTGGGCATGCCGACACACATACTCACTCCATTTAGTAATAAATTTGATCACTTACCTCAACCATCAAAGTCTGCGGATTGTACACTTACCTCAGCGGCATCAACACGTGTGGCTAAAAACCTGGATTGCACATTGAATATTTGTATAAAGTGCAATAAGCGCAGCTCTGTGATCACATGTGCAACATGCATCGATGAGGGATACATGCATAAAAACGCAACATATAATAAATTAGCTTCAACGTTCTTCATCTAATGGATATTCGGAAAGGAACATTTACTTGGTTTGAAGTTATCCCATACAGTCATGTAAGTATACAAAGTTATGTTAGTAACAGAAAGAGTACATTTGTAATACTGTTTATGGTATGAATATCGCAGTGTCTGCTCAGTGAGTGTAAGGTGTGTACTTACTTTGACACCATAAGCGATGATTTTCAACACAGTTTCCACAGAAAACATTCCAGTAAACCCCATATTCGAATACTTGAGGATATCCGAGTAGAGATCGTTTTGATTATAGAACTGCCATGTGATGAGGAGTTGGTAAAACCCGTGACAAAGAAAACAATTTATTTGTTATTTAGATTGTAAAGCATTTCTGTTATTTGGGATGAAATTGTACCATTCCCAAATAAGTACTATTTAGGGTAATGTATGACTACTTAATAATATAGGTATGAATGAAACATAACATGAAATAAATTAACTGTGCATATATAAATAACATTAAAATATTCTTTGGATTTAAAAGGAGTCGGGATAAATTCAGAATGATGCATTTAAAATTTTCGAATCTTGATCAATTTTGTTCGGGAGTTTGTAAGTCCAATAAAATCAAATTGCAAAGCCCCATCTCGATTTGTCGGCGTAAGGCCGCTTCAATCATGCAATCTGGTCGTAGGAGCAATCAGAGCTCGCTGTAAAGTCATGCAACACGAACAACATGTATGGCTCATGCCACAACTGGTTAGAGAAGTTGTGCATTCACAGGCACCTCGGACTGAATAAAAAGTTAATCAGTCCGGTGCAGCAGTTGTGCAGGACGGATAGGTCATCGTGCAAACACATTTATACGAACATATAAATATATTAAAAATAGCAAGCGAGGAAGAAAGGAACATCGAACAGAAAACACATAAGGAGACAATGAAAATATAATATTGGCGATACACTTGACGATAATGCTGGTAGAATTTGGAAAACGGCGCATTCCGATGCTGTGTACACTGACGCCGAAAGGAAACTAGCATTTGTGTTGTGTTGTGAGTGTCTGTATTTTGGCAGTCTACATTTTATTGCCAATTGTTAATTCCTAATTCTATTCTAAGTGTTTGTGAACTTAGCATAGTTTGGAATTCAGATCAAGCTTCGTTTAGATTACGGTATTTTAATTTTTGTGCTTATTGTGATTTTGAGGACGATCATCTATGCTAAGTATGTGCCGGCGTTACATACTTTGTGTTTATTATCTCAGTGCTTTTTGTTTACAGTAAAGTAAATATCAATGTGTCAAGTTGATTATGAATAGAATATTCTTTGACATCAGTCGATTTTGGGACATAGCTTAGGTCCATTATGATATTTTCGCTAAACTGAAATGTTCTAGGATCATTAGCTAATAATTATGATTATATATCTTACGTTCATACTTAGCTATATGTTGATGATTTTACTGTATGAGCCTAACATAGTAACGATATAATGTTATTAAATAAATTGTACGTATAGAGATTCTAAGTGATCAACTCAATACATACCTTCATCATAAGCAATAACGTATTAAGCACGATCAGTGACATGATGAAGTACTCAAAGGGTGTGGAGACGACCACTCTCCATACTTTGTACTTAAGGCTCCCCCTTTTACTTGGCATATACCTTTCTAAAGGCCTCGCTTCTATCGTAAAGTCAATACACGATTTCTGAAAAAGTACTAAACGTTAAGGAAATGGATCATTTTGTTAACATCAAAATTATTTAAGATTCTTAAATGCATGTAATTACAATTGATCAACTTTAAGAATTTTCATTGTTTATATTTCAACATTACATTACACAACATTTATATAATTTTATCTTCAATATGAACATTATAGATAAAATAAGATTTTTATTAATTAAAATAATATCAAAACATCAGGCTGGTGCACTTTTTAAACTCGCCATTGCGATTTAACTGTTTAACGAATTCATTAAAATACACAGAAAATAATTGTATTTTACCTTGTGTAAAAATAAGCTTATTACCTGATTCTTATCGATTTCTCCATCTTGTAACTCAGCTTCACCCTGTTCTTGAAATGTAATAATAATCAAAGCTACGAAAATGTTAACGAAGAAGAACGGAAACACTACAAAGTAAACTATATAAAATATGGACATTTCTATTCGAAAGTTCTGTATAGGTCCCCGATCTTCATACGTCGCGGCCATTGAGTTTTGAAGCACTCTGTAAAGAGAAGGATTTTATTATATAAATAATCATATTGAGGTTTCCTGAGCGTAAGTTTGTAAGAATGGACACAATTGCATCCACCAATTTCAGCATACCAATTTATAATAATTAAGCTCTAAAATTACTATTATTTTCTATTTACTATTTAATCCTTTAAGAAGGGTATAGAGTAAAAAACGGTCCCTCTTTTTAAGAACTATGAAACTAGAATGTTAAATTAAAAAAAAAACTGAATAAAAGAATAGTTTATTCATAGTGTTTTCTACATACTGTGGCCATCCCTCTCCGGTCTGCACCGCGAAAAGCGTGAGCATGGCCGATGCAACATTGTCGTAGTGAAAGGATTGTGTCGTCCACTGTCGCTTGCTCACACGCGGCAGCAGGCTGTTTGACTCGTACACGAAATACGACCCTCTGAAATTAGAGATGTTTAATTTAGGCTAAATGATTCAATTATATTGTCTTTCTATTTGTCTTGTACAGGTTTATTCGAGATTAAATATACAATATACAATTAATATGAAATATTAGTGTGTTAGTTAAGTTAATTTTACTACAATTACTCCACAATTAGCTATTTAACATTTCACGATAAATCTTTTGTGGGCGGTGACTAACATATGTATGTATGGGAATAATATAAAAGAAATATTAAATATATACTTACTGGCAGTCTTCGAAGGTATTCTTACTGATATCGTTGCAGAAAAAAAATTTACCATTAAAAAGTTGAACTGCAATTACAGCGAATATGAATTGAAACAATATGTACACTATTAGAATGTTTATCACGTTCTTCAAAGAGTTCACGACACAGTCAAACACTGCTTTTAACTTTGGAACACGTTTAATAGTTTTTAAAGGTCTGAGCACTCTCAACACTCTTAACGATTTTATTGTGGACAGATTTTGCCCCGCCCCCTTCTTTACGCCTCTGTAACAAGAAATTCACTTTAGTTTATATTCTATAACTACGAGGTGACTACGTAACATAAAAACACTATTTCATACAAATTTTAATCAAGTTACTCCAGTAAAATATGTTCTGATATGATGCTATTTGCGGCGTTAATTTCGGCTAAAACATACAAAAAATTAGTTTAAAATATAATTAGAAACTATTTAACTAGTTTTAATAGTTATGAACGCAAAGATACTTTACAATTTAAAATGGTAAGATTATATAGCTTCATTATTATTTAATACGTTGATTATTTATTTTAGCTTTGTTCCTTGTCATTTTATGTATAGAGTCCGCGCCACCACTGAATGCCGCGGCGTAGTAATATGTTGCTAGTGCTAGGTGCAAGGCTAATTTACCCCAACGTAACATAAATTAATATGAAATTCGCGAACTAGTCTCCAAGATTTGCTTCTATTGTTTTACCTTAAAACGCATAAAATAATATTTCACTGTAACGACCAATTTAGTTCCAGTGTTCTCGTCGGCAATGAGTGGTGGCGCGGACTATAATGACATGTGCAATGACGTGTTAATAAATGAATACATCCTATTATATAAGATGAATATCCAAATAATTAACTTACCCAATTTCAAAGCCGAAACTAACGAGTGCGCATATGACGACAGCGGCATCCATGATATTCCACAGGTCCCGCAGATAGGCGCCTGGATGGAACAGGATGCCGAGATCGACTATCTTCAGCAGCATCTCCACGGTGAACACGCCCGTGAAAGCGTAGTCAAAGTAGTTTAGCACAGTATTTCTAGAACGTAGAAAAAATTTCAATGGAATTTAAAAAAAGGGGCAATTTCAGTAAAACTGCAATTCGGCGTCACGTAACATCTGACTACTTACCCATATTTATAAACTTAACTTAATTAAACAGGTCGGTATTACAATATTTTAATCTTAATAAAGAAATATTCTTTGCGTTATTTTAAAAAAACAAAATTTTGTTTTCTGTTGCGTTATCGTCTTTTTTCTAATAGATCGGCTGACACACGCAATCGACTTTTTGAGTCTAATGCATGACGGTCATCCTCACGATGTATTATTTTACCGTAGAAGTTAATGTTAAATACGCAACCCGGGTTTGTCCTATGAACTCAGTAAGAGTCGCTCGCTCAAAGCTAACTACTTACTTACTTACTAGGCCAACAAGGAATCTAGAATCCCATCGACGCAGTTAATAGGACTTGTAAATAATTACGATGTATATTACTAAAAATCTTACCTATCACTATCTTCGACTACAGGGTCCTCTGCTGCTAACGCCACAGAACTCATACATATAACTAACATGATAAAAAAATCAAAATATCTTAAATTTACAATCCAGTGTGCGCCTCGTCTTATTCTGAAACAGACAATTTAAGATTAACCCAGATATAAATAACTCTATTAATTCGCTTTTTTGTTGCACTTACGGATTTGTAGGTGACAAAATAAACATGGACGAATATGGCAGCATTGGTTTTGGTCCATCCGGTACTTCCTCATCCTCTTTCTTTTCTTCCTTCTAAAAAAGAAGATACATTAAACAAATTAAGTCCGATAAAATAAATTAGCTTACTTTATATTGGTTTTTGGACATTATGTTTATGTCAAATATAATTATATACGTATAGATACAGTAAAATTAAAAGATAAATTTCGTCGGACGCTACATTTTCCGCTAAGAAATTTCCTATGTTCTTATAACATGCAACTCTAAAACAAAAAAAAATGGAAAAAGATATGTACTCGTGAATTAAATAAAACATTTTATGAATACATCTGAAATCAATTAAATTAAAAATCTAGTTCTAGACTCAAATTTAAAATCATATTAGAAATCCTAATATTAGTTCGCCCACAGAAGCAACATTGATCCAGTAATGAATGTGGCAACCTAAAATATTGTTGTGACAAGACTATAGGGGATATATTATATTTATTCGACAACGTATAAAATAGTTTCAAACGGCTCTATGTCATAGTTTTGAAAAACAAATTACGACTTGTAGTTGCCTAAAACTGACCGATAATCGACTTATAAAAATATCAACAATATTTTAAGTGTTATAAATCAATGAGCACTTGAAGCACAGCATTGCTTAGCACCATCTTCTGTTACCTTCCTAGCTGATGCCGGAAGTTTGTCTCCACTTGGAGTTCCGTCAATCGCGTGTAAAGCGTCCATTTCTTTCTCCAATTCCTAATTAGCCGAAAAAGTTGTTGTTGTATGTAAATTTAAAATTTTGTAACAACGATCGCGGTCATACAACAACTATTTGAAAATTCCATAAGCAATAAGCTTGCATTAAAAAATACACAAAGTTATACACACCTGCGATTGTTTCTCCTTGTCTTCCTCTACCTGTTCTTCTTCAGCTGCTGTCAATTCCTGAAATTATAACGCGACATTTACACGAGAAGCGGCATACAAATGTACAAGGGGGCAAAAACGATAAACGCTTAACATTTCAGTGCTGACAAATGTAGGTATATTCTGGCCGACTCACCATATGCTTTTTCTTTTACCAAACATAACATTAAATTTATGTTATTTAAATTCATAATGTAATCGTCTCGGCTAAAATATAACCTGTTTTTATCATGAAAAAACCAACCTGTGCATTCGCCAAGTTGTCAACAGCGATGGCAAGAAACACGTTTAGCAGCGTGTAGTTACCAAACAGCACGAGGATGACAAAATATAAAGAGTACAACATTCCTTTTTGTATGCCACCTTGGGATTGGATACCGTGATACATAACTTCATTCCAATCCTCCCCCGTTAGGATCTAAAAATAAATAAGACGAAATATATATTGATGATAGAAGCCTTAATACGTATTAATTTAGTACAAACCTGGAAGACAGTAAGTAAAGCGATTGGGAATGTATTGAAGTTTGTAGGTGGCGTGCCTTCTTCGAAATTAAATTGACCGCCAAATAACTGCATTCCCAGCAATGCGAAGATGAGAATGAACAAGAAGAGAAGAAACAATAGAGAGATAATGGATCTCATCGAATTTAGAAGAGATATCACAAGGTTTCTCAGAGATGACCAGTATTTTGTGACCTGAAACAAGTATATATATATATATATATATTAGACAATACTAATTTTATTTACCTTCATTTCGATTAATTAATGGATTAACATTACCTTAAATATCCTTAACAATCTAAGAGCCCTTAGAACTGACAGACCGAACGAGCCACCCTTTACTTCGGACCAAACCACTTCGAATATGGAGCCAGATATGACTACGCAATCGAAGCGATTAAACGATGATTCGAAGTAAATCCGTGGACCGAGAGCATACATTTTGATCCACATTTCCATCATGAACAGCCCCAAGAACACAAATTCGGCATAGTCTGTAAGTATCATGAAGAACCAATCAATATCAAGCGCAAATTTTTAACGATTGCTATAAATAATGTGCCATCATAGATGAGAAGTATAATATTTTTTTTTTTAAATTCAGTGAATTCAGTGACGATGTACTTAAGACAGTGAAGTTACATAAGTTCTCCATTTAATTAATCAAATGCTAAAAAGGGCTTTCAATGCTTCTCTTATTCATTTACTAAAGCTTAATTTCGTAGCTGAATTGAAATATTCATTAGTTACGAGTACATAATTATGTACTGATAGAAATAATTTAATAGCCGACTATACCGATAGTCATACGTATATAAGCAAATTTAAGTGTATGTACTTACATAAAAACGAAGTAAGCCACTTAGGTTGTCTATAGTGCTCAACCGCTACACATATTGTATTAAAGAGCACCAAAACTATGACGAACCAGTAAAACCACTGAGTTTTGACGGTGTGACGGATCCAAAACCTAAATCTTTTTTCTTTCCTCCAGAAGTCAGCGCATTTTCCTGCTGATCTTGTTTTGCTTTTCAAGAACCCTGCAATAGTAAATTTTTTTTTACAAACCATACATTTGAATACCAAATACGTTCTACAATTAACATTTATTGTTAATTAAAGCTAGACTTAACTAGTCATTATAGTTTTGGCTCGGGTATTAGTATATTTGTTTCGGATATTCGATATCAAGCCTATATATAGGCCAGTGCGAGTAATTGGACATTTGCTGAAACACATCTAAATTCAGTATCCGTTGCAATTTGAAACTTGTCTTATATAAATCTCAATCAACTACCCCCACGAGACAACTATCATGTCCGGGAAATGGAAGCGTTACGCTTTAGGGTAACTTTTAGTTTAAAGTTTTGCTATTTAAGCTTTGATCTAAGGAAGGTAGGGCTTAATTACATTTGGTTTAGGGAATTAATATCTAATAAATTAATCTGGTACTTGTACTAGGTATCATGAGGGGAAAACTATGTTCCTACATCTAGGTCTAAGCTATGTATACTACGTAGAAGATGAAAAGGAATATTCTACCAGCGCCACGCTTGATCCCATACCTTGCTTTTTCTTTGGAACTGTAAACAACCAACACATAATTTACAGTAAGGAATTGACGTCATGAGGGATGTGTATAGAATAAGATACTGGCGATAGACACGACATGCAACATGTAGCCAATGTTTGAAAAATCCGAATTAGTATTTACAGTATAAGCAATAGATCGATCGTTAGCCTAAATTTTTTTGATAATATTAGTAAGATGGAGAGTTAAGAATTCATTACTGTAGAAAATTTTAGCTACTACAATGTTTTTAATAGTTTCAACTAAATAAAACTAAAATGATTATCTAACACAACACAAAATAAATTTAAACATTATGATGTGCTAACTGACCGTCATCGCCACAGTCTTCATCCTGTTCTTCCTCTTCTGTGTCTGTGCTTTTACTCTTCCCAAGGTTCTTTAACTTCTTTTTTGCTGCTGCTCTTCTTCGGGCTGAAAAAATATTATTGCGAGAAAAATGGTCCACACATACGAATCATATTAATGAATATGTAAATTATCGTTGATGTAATTTATCGTTTACCTTCTATAATATGCATTCTTTCCTCTTCTGTTGTTCTTTCTTCCGCTAATATTACTTCCTCTGAAAAATACGTGACAAGTATTTTAAACAGTTTCACAACCAATAATCATAATGTATAAGAATCCACAAACTCTTACCTGCTTTACAAATCCACTCAACATAACCATTGAGTTCTCTCTCTAGCATTTGTTGTCTTCTTATTTTAAGAAATTCTTGTCTATTTTCTACTTTCTCTCTTTCTTTAGCAAACTCACTGGAAAATAGCGTTAATACAAATTCTACTGGAGCAACCAATGTAGTGTTGGATAATGTTCATATTCAAACAAAATATAAAACATGATAACAAAATATGAATAAGAATAAATGAGAAGAACTAATAACACACAAATAAGAACACAACAAGAAACGAAATTAGCTTTGATGATATTGGGGTTTGAACGTCTCTAAATGTTAACCACAATAAATAGCGAAATACACGTTATATCACACGTCACACCTGCTTCAGTAATCCAGCTAATGTACCCCGTGAAGTCTTGGTTAAACATTTGCCTCGCTCTTTCCTTTTGAAACTGAGCTCGACGTTCGACTCGAGTTCTTTCATTAGAGAACTCTCTGAACAAAAACTTAAAATTGAACAAAAATCGAAACAAAACAACGCAAAAAATGAGAATGTATAGAGTTTAATTGTGGTAACAACTCACCCGCTAAGGACACCAAGAACTAAGTTGAGCATGAAGAATGAACCCAATACTATTAGAGGCACAAAGTAAATCCAGTTAAATGTGCTACCTAAGGCGTCATTCGTCTGAAACAAACAGAATTTGATTATTTAGATGTAATTTCATTACACAGTTTCGTTTGTAGTGTATTAAGCAAAACGGGGCCGTTCTAACAACATTATAATAACGAACATAAGATAGATGCATATCGGGGTTCTTAATTAATACTATTAAAATTAATAAAAACCCTTTATATGCTATTCACAGCCACGTATACTATATGTCTCGGGGACATCTTTGTCAAATGCATAAGGAAGAAACAAATTGAATTTCTCGAAATATAAAAAATTACCCAGTAGAGTATAGCTGTCCATCCCTCCATAGTAATACACTGGAAGACAGTAAGCATAGCAAATCCAATGTTGTCAAAGGACGTGATTCCTCTGTTAGGTCCTTCCCACTTCTCCAAACATGTGCTTTTGTCGTAGCCACACACATGCGCACCGTAGGGGGCAAGTGTCTCATTATCTGCATTGCATGGTGTTGGATTGTCTCCATCATTTACTATTTCATCTATAACCATTTTAAATTTGTTAGCTTATTTATACTAATCAAACGGTAGTCACAATCTAAGTTGTTGTTTCATCTAATGCGAAATAATCTTTGAACAATAGTGGCAAAACGATTTTTGCAGCAAGTACAAAGACAGTTTGTTTATTTTTTTTTTAATGAAAATCCTTATTCATTGGATCTATTCAGATATGTTAATGTTTTTATATTTTTAACTGTTAGGTGTACAATTTGAAACGAATGACTAAGAATTGAGCAATTAGCGCAGTAGACAAAATATCAAAGTTATAAGGATAATTAAAAACTTTTTATTAAATGTAACAGCTTAAAGTTGGTGCTTGGATCGAAGTAATACTGAGTTTATTGTGGCTGCAAAGTAGGTCATACCCGCGTTGGGTGCACACAACGCGACACAAATTCTACTTGTTTACAGCGTACAACTTCAATTATCATAACAAGAATTTTATGAAATCTGCCAATATAATGGGTTTCACAAGTTCAGTACATGATATATTTTGCCTTTAGTACAAATTTAACGTTTATGGGTGTAACGGCTACTAAGTAATGTTTGTATGAATAAAACACTTACTTATATCCTCTAAACTATAACAAGTCTTATGTAAAGCCCCCGAGTAAAATTCGAGACCAATAATGGCGAATATGACAATTGCAAAAAGCACCAAAAGGCCGATTTGTAGCAACGGGGCCATTGCTTTGATGATGGACTTCAATACAACTTGCAGACCTGCACACGGAAGAAAATACATAAAAATAAAACAAATCAAATTGTAAATACACGTATATATGATTGGGGTACATGATCGCGATAGAGATAATTTTGAATTGGAACTAGATGAATCTATAACTTTGATGACCAAATCAAATAAGAAGCCAATTTGGGAGTTTTAGTATATATCTTAAGTTTATGTTAACAGTAAATAAAAGCATTACAGGAAAATAACTAAGAGTGATGAACAACATTTTGCAAAATATTCATGATTTTTAATTATTATTTAGTTTGTCAGTTTATGGTCACAACTATGCATTTAAGAATATTTTGCAAAGATCCAAACAACTAGTGCCAGTGATGCTAGAGGTGCTAAACTAAAAATGTACTATAACTCACTAGGAACGCCCGATACTAATTTAAGGGGCCTCAGCACCCTAATGGCACGCAAGGTCCGGAAGTCGACTTCGGGCGCCACCTCCGGCATCTGCGTGATGATACTGCCAAACACATTGCACTCCATACTATAGCTGTACTAGCCGCTAACTTAACGATAACATTACTACAAAGAATATGCTTGTTTAGTCACCTAAGACAACAAGCTACATCGTAAAGAACTTTTTATATGTCTTCGTCTCGGAAGTGCGCAAAATCAAAAACACATTCAGTGAATTTAAAAAAGGAAACAAGCACATTCCTCTATAAAACAACTCTACGGTCTATCGTATAGCTAGTTACATATTTATTATTTAGCTAAACACTTTATTTTTTACAAACGTTTAAACTAAATGCGTTACATGTATACACCTATATTTCGTGTTATATCTAAATTCTTACATATTAGCTTTAATCTGTAACACCTACGAACACATATCTTCTATTATGCAACATTTATTAGACACATTTGAAGTACATTTAGCATCGTCCAAAACTCACAAGTTTAAAACCACGCATCTAAATATTTATTAGAACAATTGTTTAAATCTTGCAAACGGCAGGAACGCTACATTCGTCGCTAAAAAGTTAAAAGTTCTATTTCAAATCTAGCGTTGACTACATCAAAGAGTTCGTAATCGAAAAACTAGCGGAAACACTAGAACAATAGGAACAATAATTTATATGTGAACTTTTCGCCAATTACTGTGAATTACTTGGTATCCGCGAGACGAGCTTCAGAGGGCGCAGCACTCTGAACGAGCGCAGCATCCGGAGATCAACGTCCACGTTGTATTCGGCGAAAATCGTCATCGACCTAGTTTTTGTTATTCAACATTTAGATTGGTTCACCCATCCTTACCTAATTTATTTACTTTATTGCGCCAATTCGGTTCGGTATCGCCTTTTGGCACCTAAATTTTGTAGCAAATTTCAATGTACCTCGTAATTACACATGCTAACATGAGTGATACGGATAATGAAAAATAGACTTACCCAGTTACTACAACGAAAAAATCCATTATGTTCCAAACGTTTCTAAGATACGATCCTCTGTGTAAAACAAAACCTAAGGCTAAAATTTTTAACGAGGCTTCTACACAAAATATCCCTAAAAAGTACGCCTCGGTCTTTTCCTGTAACAAAGAAAATATTCATATATCAAATATTTGCATATTTAAATTGCCTGTAATTACGGGTAAGTAAATTTACTTAATTAGTCAACTACGTAAGATTAACAATAATGAAGTTAAAAACTTCCCTTGGACATTCACGAGCAGGCCCGCGAATGCGTTGCTTTTTAAAATAATACCTACGTCAAGGAAATTATGGGTTCCAATATCGATTAAGGGAATTAATTGCCTGATAAAACTAATGTGGCGTCTGTACAATAAAATAACAAATAGATAAAATAATTTGGAATATTAACTAACAAAATAACATAAAGAATATGCACAGAATGTCCTAAATCCCGTGCAATGTTAAAAGCTTCGTTGCGTACGTATTAAATCGAAATAAATTGATTTAAGGTGTACAGTACAAACTACAAACTATACATTTCACATGTGTCATAGAATTGTTAAATATTTTTTTAGATTTCAACAGTATCACTTATAGGTTTATTAGTTATAAGAAATGATTAGAGTAAGATAGGGCGATGGTTCATAAAAATAACCAGAAATCCTTTTGAAATTAATAAGACTTGGTGAAATAAATAAGAATTAGTGTCGTACCAGATTCTGTGCTAAGATGGTCTTATCGCCGTTCGGCAGATGCTCCTCCAACGCCAGCACCACACAGTTGGCGATGATGGTAAGCAGCACCGCGTACTCGAAGGGTGGCCACTCGATAATGAACTTTGTATACCTGGAAACACGTTTTATAATAATATAAAATTCATTTATTAACGTAAAACATCTTGCTGATGATTTACTTAAAAACTATCCCGATTATAAACTCGTTAGATTGTAGTTACGATGAAAAGGGACAAAATATTGCATTAATTAAAACAGATTTTTGTATACGAGTCTACAAAGCTCTTCTTCTACGATTTTACTGGCGAATGATTAACTCATAATTAGTATGTAAATTCTCTGAAATGAAAACTTTGTGACATAACTAACATTATTATTTCCCCTTAATATTTAAATCAACAAATATATCGCGTTCCGTTATAATTGAATATCATTTCCTGAATGCGCAGTGTAATTTCATCCTTCATATTGACATGGGCTGGCTTTCTTCATTGAATTATACCATCGATGATGAATGATAAGCTGAGTTATGTATCTCACTAATTACGGGGAATAATATAAGCTAGTGAATAATTATTTTAAAGCACAATAATGTGCCAAGAGTTACAAATGCAAGGGAGACGTCTCTGTTTCGCAGTTATGTTATGGCATTAACAATAAGAAACTACACAAAACATCAATCTTCTTACAAAGGCCATAAATATTATTTTAGTTGTTGTATTGTAAAGTAAGTTTTAACAGAAAGCAATAAACGAGCTAGGTCTGTATATGGTATCAATAGTAATATTGAAATCACACCTTGGAATTGATTTTCATTTAGTTTTTATATTTTTTTTTATCTCTTCATGTATGTTACGTTTGCCTATAAGTGATTGTCACATTAAATATTGTATTTTGTTTTTCTTGTACCAATGAATCAGCGGGCCGAGCGTTGGTAAGCTTCTTTATAAATAAATAATAAATAAAGTTATTACATTTTACCAAACTTCAATATCAATCACAATCTTGCTTTAGTGTAAGATAGATAATTATTTGATCCTCTGGTGAAAGGCAATATCGTGAGGAAACCGGCATAATTTAAACCCAAGAATCGAAATAAAAAAATTACGAAGAAACGTATGGTATCTGAAGCCAAGATCCGTTTAGGGTTGTAGCGCCACTAGATATTCGCTATTTATATTTTTATAATGTATCTTCGAGGTTTATGAATAGTTATGTTAGCGTCTACTCAGTTTGGCCTCGTTGCATAAATTAGTAATTTTATACCACTTGACCCGCTTCACTTTCTAATACCAAGTATCATTATTAAGATAATGTTTAAAATCATATTATAAATTAGATCAAGATAGCTTACTTCTAGGACGCTAATAGTGCCACACTATCATATTTGTACTAGCTATTGAATAAACACACTATTTTATAAATTAAATTATAGATTAATAATAATAGTTAAACAATATAAGGACGCAACGATTACGATTTATGCCCACTTAGCAGGTTTAAGTCTACGACAATTTTACTTGAGGCTGTAAGTATTTTCGTGGATTACTATCTTAGTTTACGATAATATTATTTAGGATGCGTCTGTTTTCTTTCCTTGTAATTTCATTGAACAAGAAAACGATACTATAAATACGTACGACTTCTGTGCAGGCATGGAGAAGAAACATTACTTGACCTTCTGTCCCAGACGTTGAGTATAGAATCCCTATCATAAGTGACTTCAAAGATAATCGTAACATGCAAGGAAATCTAAGAAAGCACAAGGAGGCTGGATAACGCGCACTATAGACGCCGGGTGTAATATAAAAAAGCACGAAGTTTTACCTTTGTGTATGCAAAATTAATGGGAAACGAGTTGTATTCATTATGTAACATGCATTAATATCCACTGTGCGGTATGTCATGTTAATCTCGGTACAGCTGCAAGAACCAGGCTATTAAATATTTATATTAGCGGAGCGAAAGTTTAGCTCAACTTTGAAAACATTCTAATTAGAGATCCATTCTATAGTCACTTGAAGGAATGTAAAATTTGAACGTTTAAAAGTTTTTGTTATATGTTCTAACTAAACATCATTATCATCTTATACATACTATAAGATTATGTCAAAATATTGAATAAGTTTTGTGCACCCTAAACACTATTGCTTGTGAGACGGATATATTTAGTTGCACACTGGTTTTAAGTTTTTACTTATTATGTTTATATTATGTTTTAGTTTAGTTTTCTATTGTATTAGTATTAAGGTACTGTTAAAACAGGAAATAAGGAAAAAATAAACAATAAATAAACATTTCATTGTACTGTTTTTGAGTATCTTAAATGCAGTTTCCTTTCCATATTTTTTCAAACAATAATAACCACTATTATTATAATAAATTTTCTAAAACGTTTGATAAATTAACAATTATGAACCCTATCTTGTATTATGAACAAATCAATAATTTTCAGGACATAACTATTGAACTCCAGGTCACCTAGGAATATTTAGATAGCTTACTACTTAAATATTAAACTACTAATTTGTAAGTCAGTGAAACTCACCTCCGTATAGGATTTTCGTCGGAGAATATAAATAGCGAGCTGGGCCCCGGAGTAGCGGGCTGGTGGGCGCCGCCCATCGTATCAGCTGGCGCCGCGCGTCCCTGCGCGCCCGCCGCCTCCTGCGCTGCCGCCAACCTGAAAATCACCATAATACATTATATAAATTAATGGTTGAGCTTGACTTTGATAAGGATATATTCATAATAAAATCGTTTTTGGTTTAACCAAGTAATACACATGTCAAAAGAATAGTTGAATAAAAGACAATGTTTTCTGCTAAAATACGTACAATTTGTTCTTAGTTTCAGTCATTTGAAAATATACTTTGTAACATTTCATGTTACATACAAATTTCACTACCTATATTAACACGATTATGAAGTAACATAAAATAATTGTATTCAATTAAAGTCTTTTAATGACAAGGAAAACAAGATATTAGTCTACTATGTTCTGATGTCGTGCTTATAATTTTAATATAATGCAATAGCGTGCGGGGCCGTACGAAACTTTAACCGCTTAACTATCATCATTTAAAGTGTAACATGGGCGTTGAATTTAAAAAATTACTAGTTTTCCATTAGTAGAATACCTGTGGGGTTTCATTATAAAAGGTAATTAACATTATGTATGTCAAAGTGTTATTTAAACCCCTGTACCGTAATAATATTGCGGTATCTGAAGAAAGTTTGTGAATTCAGAGTGGCAGGAGTAATTAATACTTCTAATATATACACAAAATAAGAACCAATAATGTCTACCCACGGTATAGTTCCCATAATTCTCCATTCATAACATAAATAAATTAAGTCTGAAATCGTCGTATTAATTTTGGTATTGTATCTTAATAAAAGTTCAAGCGCTGCCGTCGCTTCAAAGGGGTTTAAGCAGATGGATCAGATGTTAATTGACATTCGCCAGTAGTCTGGGTTTTGTTACTTGTTGCCTTCTACGTTTTATTCATTTAACCTTTGATGCTACTTATGCAGCTGTCTAAATGAACGCTAATAAGAAAATGACTACCGTACAGATGGATGTAAAGCAAATTTTAACTATTCGTGATTTTACAAGAGCATCTGATATGAGAGCGTCCCGAGAGATGTATAACTCAAAGAGGTATAAATTAATTAAATGCAGTCCCTTTCACGAAGGCGCCCGCGCCGCGTTGACCTACTTAGCTGTCTGTCAAATTGTTACGTTGTTTTGCAAGGCCTTATAACCAATGAATTACACATTGTTAGTAGACGATATCGAGAGATTTCTTCGTGTTTTTTATTCATTCAACTGTCGGCAATGAATTAGGCATCACAGAATAACTAGAAATTACTTAGTTACTTAAAAACGTTACTTAAATTCATAACATCGTCTCATGATAATACTTAATTATAAATAAAATTAATTATTTTGTGTTACGGATGAAAATGTGTTTAGTTACAAATGAGCCGTCTTAGTGAGTATAATTTAATTGTATTAACTTATGTTAATATATTTACTAAGAATAAGGATTATATTATTGGTCTTAGTAAATGTTGTAAAATTATTCGACGTCCACTGAGACGAACAAAGTTAAGTAGATTAATAAATAAATAAAAAGTAAAACTCCACAAGGAACATATCGATTCAAAAATAGGTTATCGCCTAGAAACGACAATTAATAGTCAAAGAAATCAATAACATAATACTTTTTCTTTTTGACTTTTAACCTTTTACATTCAGCTGATTCCTATATCCTATAATAAATGTACTACTTACATATTTGGATTAACTATTTATTTAAACGACTATTAGATCACATTCAAACTAAAAACCATGTATAAATTTCACTACGAGTATGAAACAAATATGACTTTAAAGGTCAATCTGTCAAAAGTTTTTACATATACCCACTTGTCAATATTGGATTTTGATTTTGAACCCTCAATTTAACGATAAAAAATAACACTGTGATTTAACGGTAAATGTGAAATAAATGGAAAATTGACTTTTTGACACGGGTTTGATGCATTGTTGAATATAAATTTACTTTTTAAAATATTTATGTCAAATTGTGCAATGTTGGTTTAATGCGTGCCACTGACCCTGAGGTCATGTGTTCAAGCCTCGGCTATGCACTAATCGACATTTCAATGTACGTTTAGAACTTGTTCGTACGGTGAAGGTAATTGTTGTTAGGAAACCGGCCTATTCTCCGCACCTTGGATCCGTCGACGTATGTCATGCTAAGCAGGCTAATCACTTGCCTTAAAAAGGAAAATGTTAGACGAAACAGAACTTTAACACTAGTGAACTATTTTAAAAAAAAGGGTGCGTGTACTTATTTACGCGCGTAAGAAGTTATACTTCTTTGGCATTATTAAAAATAGTTATATATATATATATATATATATATAATAATCTAAAACAGGAAAAGGAGTCATTATAGTCAATAAAGTTCAGTTTACATTTGAAAAATTAAATAAATATTTATTATTATTCTCTTACATTAAGTGTAACATAAATTCTATTATTATTCGAATGTTGTTTTTAAATTATGTCCAATGCCGTAGCATCATCCGTGGGCAACTTCATTCTGTTAATTTTATGTCACGGTGCGCGCGCATCGTAAAATTTCACTCTCATCAATTTTTCGTAACGCGCCTAAAGAAGTATAACTTCAAAATTGTGCATAAGGTTCCCGCGTCAGCCAATTATAAATGATGAATATTGGTAGGTAAATACAATTGCGTTTCACGTATGATTACGCTTTAAAAAATTAACATTAATTAAACAGTTTATTTATCTATTGCTAGTTTACCTTTAACTTTATTTGGACACAAATATAGGTATTCATAAACTTCACATAATAACTTAGTTGTCTTACGAGTAGTCAGCAATATTTAATTAATTAAACGAATGACAAGACCCTTACATTATTTCACAATAATAAAACGTTACAGTCCAATATGGGCCTTTATCTCTGATTGTATCCGTTTTTTTATAATAATTGTGCGACTCTGTGCACCAATGGACTTTCTTTCTATGTGCGCATTTAACATTCACTCGAACCGTGAAGGAAAACATCGTGAGGAAACAGGCTTGCCTTAGAGCCAAAAAGTCGACAGTCGAGGAGGCAGATCACCCTCATGCCTATGAGATTGATAAATGATCATGAAACAGATACAAAAATCTGAGGCTCTGGCCTAAAAAGGTTGTAGCGCCACTGTTTTTTTTTATTTTTTTAATAGCATTTAGGTGATGTCGATTATGTAACTGAAAAATATCGGCGGTTTTTGGGCTTCCTCACTATATTTGTCGTCACCGTAATGTTAATTTCACACAGAAGGAATGGTGCAATGCTCTTATTCGAACGCACGACCTTAGGGTTGAGAGTCACACACTTAAGCCACTAGACCAACACTGCTATTTACATAGGTATGAGTCTTAAGTTAACTAATAAATTGTATTTAATATAATAAATATATGTACCTGAACCACTAGAACGTCTAAAATAAACTAATCAGTTAACATTAATTACACAGATATTATCATCAAATGTACATATAAATTAACCTTTGTAATAATTTAGGGTCTCGCTTAAATTCGAAAAGAATATTTTATTTCCCTAGATAACCTTTGTTTTATTGCAAAAAACCACATTTTTTTAATAATCAGTAACAGGGGAGTGTTACTGCAAGAACCCTCGAGTACACAAAAAAGTTAAACTGTATAGTAATAATAATTCTGTAAAATAAAAATATTTTATTAAATGTCATATTTCTAATCGCGGCATTAATTTTATGTTTTAAGTCCTGTGTATTCGATAGAACGTCAAAGTGCTCCGATTCCGACAAACAGTGTTTAGCTTTCAATCTTTAATTCACATTTTTTTTACTATCGACTCCAAGTTTATTTTAAGTTAATACAAATATCGTTCTATCTATTTATAAGTGATCCCATTTATTATCATTATTTACCATACGAGTGCATTGAATCTGAAACGCCCACACTTTTAAGCAGTGAATGGAACTTATTTCTATTATATTTAATTTCTTAAAAACGCCTCTGCAAAAAGATCCAAATCTTTGCAGTTGTAAAAATTACTCGACAGTAAGCAGTATTGCTGAAAACAGGTGTCTCAAATCATATCTTTACGAAGAAAGAGTCTAAATAGAAATAAATACTGTGTTAAAATAAACTAATAATGCCGCCATAAGTATTCGGATTAGGATGAATAATAAATTTATTACACGAATAGTAACACCTACTGACTGTATTTTAATTGGCAATTGATGATTCCCTAACACCATGCGTATTGTAATACCCTTTATTCCGGAACCACAAAGGTCCATTATAGCTACAATAAGTAATTAAAATGCCAGCAAATAATATCTAATATATTGCCAGACTTGTAACAGAACAGAATAAACTCACATATTTTTACGCTTTCATAATATTTTGGCAACCAAAAAAATATTACTATGCCAGCTCTGGTTTGGGCATGGTACAATAAATACTAATGTATTTATCAGAGAATAAGCCATATAACAACACTAGAAGTAAGGTTGATTCTAATACTTAACACGAATGCACTAATGGAATTAGGATTTAAGATGTTTTTTTCACACTTTCACAAACCAGTAAGAAAATTACATATATTCTATCATACGTGGAAATATACTAATAAACTTTGGATTCTGTTAAAGGTACAGAATGTTGAAGAGTATAACAGTATGGAATAAAATAATAAAAAAAGCTAAGTAGACAGTGCGATTGAAACTAGATTGAGTTAGCCATATCTTGGCGTAGGGAAACGCCAGGAGAACTTTAATGAAAGAATTATTGGGACAATTTAGATGTCTTGTGGAAAAGATCAATGGTACATAATTGGACTTCAATAAAATCAATTCAGGATTGATTATTAATTCAGTCGTGATGTTTAAAACAATTTCGTATAATATAATAATGTCAAATAAATAATAAAACTCATTTCAATAGGTTCTTTACTAAATGATGTATGCTAATTCAGGACACATTTTTTAAAACATAATATTGGTATATGGCTTGAAATTGGAAGCGGCAAGTTTCTGGTAGGTAACAG